CCACAATTAAAATTAAATATTACCCCCCAAAAGTGAAAATAAATTACAATGGCGCTGAACACTGCAACCAAGCAATAGCTTGATTGCAATCTTCAGCACCAGTGTACTACATGTCATCACTGCATTGTCAACGTGATTCATCAAACTTATTAAAAAGATAATCAATAAATTTTAGTTAATTAGCCTAATGATCTACATTTGCTTTTTTCAGGGTGTTGAATTAAGAGATGGGGGCTATTCCCAGAGACAATTCAAATAATGTATTAAGTACGAGTAATATCTGCTCCGCCTCTCCGTGTTTTTGAGACAAATGATGGGTCACCGGGAAAGTCGGATTCAAAAATTAGACTGCCATATATACAGCTAGTGCGAACATAGCATACGTTCTTACTAAATGTATAAATGGCAGTCCGGTGTTGCTGCGTTGTTGCTGTTGTGTGGGGTAGTGTTCTGCTGGTGTTGTCTGTATTCCGTTTGTTCAGAGATGTATGTATATCTACGAAAAGGCAAACAGCGCGCAGAAAACGGGGACTAGAGGAAGTGCAGACAGGACAAGCGCTACCATGTAGCGTTCACAAGTTCATGGAACTTGAAATAAATTTTTTTAGAGTTTACTGGCTAACGAGAGCCATAGGATAAGCCATAGAGGAGTCTTTAGCCAACCATTAGACAAGCTAAAGAGCGCTATGGATGGACAGCGATAGGGCCATAGACAAAGCTAAAGAGCCCCATAAAGGCGACCATAAAAAATGCTAAAGACAGCCATAGAAAATTCTTTAGCTAATTGGGCCAAATAGATAAAGCCGACCATATAAAGAATTTTCTATAGCCGACCATAGGACATTTTTGTATGGGTATTGCCAGACGCTTGACTGCCAAGCCAATGTAACTTTGCCTTATAATATAATTCAAAGGGTTTTGGGAATTTCCTGGTAGCGCGTTCAAAGCCACGCATCAGGCGCATAAAAAAAATGGTTGTAAAGATTATTTAGAAATCGCAGGACAGAGTTTAGACTCTACACCATAGCTAGATTTTTAGGGGGGGGGGGGGGGGAATTAGGGAATTCAGAATAGAGGAGTCGTTGCGAATTAAGGATTAAGGCTTTGCCTTCAGAAAACAAGGGGGTGTACCCTCCCCCTCCGCCCGCCCCCCGCCCCCCCCCCCCCCCCCCCCCCCCCCCCCCGTCGACCAAGCGGCGAGCAGACGATTTCAGCTTGGATGAAAGCGCGTCGGTGCGCAAGGCAGTCTGGGATTGAGGTCTTCATTTTTTTTTCGGCGTCGCTGGGCATGACGTCATGCCGGGACCTGCCTTATTTAAACGTCCTTGACTGTCACCCAGGAACCTCACCAGGAGTTGTTCAAGGTACATGGTAACTTTCGCATATTTCCACTGGGTAGAAGACCATAAAAGCTCCGCTTTCAGCGCGAACTCGCTGCCTTCCTCAGACTCCAGTATAGGTTACGCGTGCCTGCGCGTTCACACTTGTGTTAGCCAGGGCAGAAAGCTCGCGGCCGGGGTCACACTACTTATGCATCACGCAAAAGACGGTCCGCATACAGATCCGAACGCGAGTCACTGGCGAGATCCGTGCTTTGAATACCGCATGGCAATTAGATCAAGTAGGAGAACCTTGGCACGCGGGATTCCGACCATGGATATTGCGGCGACTCGTGTTTCCAAACAAGCTATCACAAAGCATGGTTGACATATGGCCTCAAAGATGGTTGAAAGAGGGCAGATGAATACTGACCATCGAAATTCGGAATATAATTGTGGAGTGAGCCAAGCAAGCGCAGCGTCGCGGTATCTCAAGAGTAAAAATAATCCCCCCTTACTATACTCTCAGTAAGAATAATACCCCGGCACATTATTCTATGGGAGAATTGTGCCAACTCTGTGCGTAGTACAGTAGCACCACTATAATATTTACGATTAGGAAGAATATGACACTTCGAGATGTCATCGTGTCAATCTCGTGCCCTAAACACTGCGTGACATGCTCCGAAAAAAAAAGGCAACCTTTGGAGGTGTCATGTCCGACAACTTCACGAACCGCGCAAAAACTTTTTTTTTTTTTTTCACGAATCGTCTTGCACTTTAAAGCCGCGCTAACATTGCAAAAGACAGTCTGAAGACACTGTCTGACACGTGTTTCTTGATGTCCGAGTCCCACTAGAGCGACAAGCAAAAACAACCGACACGGACATGCCTCCCACACACGCCGCACGCTCGCGATGGTACCTTTGAGAGGCTTTTAGTCGTTCGGTGCTCGTGAAGTAAGCACGAGTGGTTGCAAGTCTGCCAAAGATACCCTCGCGTGCATGATGCTCGTTTTGAGAATAGCCTCCTTTGTTCCACAAATTTGTCAAGTCGCGAAAGACTGGTTTGAAACTTGTAAAAACTGCCTGTGGACACCTTCGAAGCATAAAAACCTACGAGTCAAACGTGTTTCGGACTGCATACTTTTGTGTCAACGTGCCTACAGAGAACGCCGTGTATTTTGCACGATGCACAAACAGTGTGGCTAGAGGCTTGGAATACATTTTAGCGCTCAAAAACAAGGACAAAAATACGAGAATTTTAGCGCACTGTGGTGTCTGATTCTCGTCTTTCTGTCCCTGTTTTTGAGCGCTAAAATGTAATCCAAGTTCCAAAACCAACTAGCCCAACAATCTACTCTACTGGCTAGAGGCATTGTGCCCCGTCTCACGGGCGGGAATTGAACCCCTTTTTCCTACCTCGGGGTTCTTCTTAATTATATTTCGAATAGCATTGACGCCGAAGGCCTTTGGCGAACCAGTGGAAACCCGGGATCGCCAGCTGGTTCACAAACGGCATTTGAAACGCCCCTGAGCGAGGGGTTGTCGCCTTGCCGACTGCAGCGCCACCGCAGCGAGGCGCCACGTCAGGGCCCGCGCGGAGTTCATTTTACGGAGATAAAATCGGCAATAAACGGTGCGTCATAGATCCTGCACGGTCTAGGAGAGAAGTTTGTTTTCCTCTGCTCGATTTTTCACGTCATTTATAGTTTGACTTATGTAACGTACTCGAGTTGCATACCCGAAGAATATACACCGATAACTGCAAAATTTGAGAGGTAAACGCCGACTCTACTGCATCAAATCGTCTCAGGTACAAAAAGAAATGCTGGAAATCGGAGTCTTTCGCCGACGTGTATAGCGAAGTTCCCGATAACGCCGCGCCGAACCTTCGGTTGAGTGTTCGGCACGGCCAACATTTCACTCGCCCCACGGATCTGTGTGAACACCGGATACGTCAATTTCTTCGAAGTCGACACTCCGTCGTCCGAGTCAGGCATTCCGATCTCGCGCCGAGATAGGTCGAGCCAACGATGATAAATCGAAGACTGCTTCGAGAGCTCTCAATTGCCCATATACACGACGAGACGCTCCCCCTGGCCTAGGGACATTCACCTTTACAACCTTGTTTTGGAGTGTGCATTTTTTTCGACCACTACAACCCGACCTTTCCACCACCATTCTTTCGCCTGGTTCTGACTGGAGACACTAAACAAGCTATAGACATACGCTCAGAGTCTCGACACTCCGTCCCCCAATTTTCTTGTGGGAGCCGCCATTTTTTGCACTTAATGCAGAGTAGACGCCGTTAACAATCATTAGGAGGGGGGGGGGGGGGGGGGGGGGGGGGGCAGAGAGAGTACTTTTGCGGCTGGTTATTTGCGAATTTTGTACGCACTGCCAGAAGATCGTCTCCATGATGACGTCTACTCGTGAGGGTGCGAAGAGCTATCCGGTTCGCCACCGTCATCCCACTGCGGAAAGCTTTCTAGCGGTTTTGCAGTGGATGAGGAGACGAATTCAGCTTTGCGTTGAGGAAATTCGGCGCTGATTAGTCGATGTTAAACTGCAAGCGAGGGGATCCGGACATTTCGGTGTAGGACGTTTCGATGTAGGGCGTTTCGGTGCGGTCTTTTCGGTGCACGGACTTTTTGGGTGTACGGGCTTTTCGGTGCGCGAACATTTCGGTGCACTGACTTTTCGGTGTACGGACATTTTGGTGCACGGAAAATCAAAACCACGAGTTTCTTTTTAGTTTCTCTAAACGTAATAAACATTATTTTAGCTTGAAAAATTGTTTTTCGCATAAATTTTTAGACCTGGTCATGCCTTTACGATAACTTACTGATATACGACCTAAGTGACTTCGTTAGGCTCAGTACCATCCTGCACGAGGATTGGAGACGTTGGACACTATGGTTCGTTTGTCGGTGTCTCTTTTCCAACGTACACACTAGTCGCATCACTTCGTGTTGACACGTTGGGTCGATACAGACGTTCTCGGCGCCTTCTGTAAAGGTGTGCGCTTTATTATTGGTAATCTGTGTAGGAAAGGCCCCAACAGCAAGCTTGAGATTGTTTAAAGTTACCCGAGACATGTGATGCGACTAGTGCGTACGTTGAAAAAGAGACACTGACAAACGAGCCATGATGTCCAACGTCTCCAATCCTCACGGAGGATGGTACTGCGCCTAACAAAGTCACTTAGGTCGTATAGTAAGTGGCCGTAAATGGATGGCCAAGTCTAAAAAATTATAAAGCGCGAAAAAATAGATTTTAGCTAAAATAGTGCTTTTACATTTAGAAAAAAAAAATGCGTGATTTAGATTTTTCCTGCACCGAAATATCCGTGCGCCAAGAAGTCCGTGCACCGAAATTTCCGCGCATCGAAAAGTCCCACACCGAAAAGTTCGTGCACCGAAAAGTCCGTGCACCGAAACGTCCGTGCACCGAAAAGTCCGCATCGAAACGTCCTACACCGAAACGCCCTAGCCAGCGAGAGCCGGCCCGCTCTGCATCGTTCCAATTTCTTCTCTCTTCCTCCATTCTATGTCTTTCTTTGGAGGGGACCGGGTAAGGTGGGGAAAAAAAAAACTATTTGATGACCCAGCAAAAAATTCTGGAATATGTAAAGGACGCGCGTTCTCTATTCGCAAACCGTGGTCACGTCAAAGCTGCCATGTCCTATGGGTGTCTCGCAGGAGCTGGTTCTGTCCAAGTACGACCCCGAATGATGTCCTCTCCCCCTCCCCCCCCCCCCCCCCCAAAAAAAAAAAAAGATCGGTGCCATCCCCTCCCTCTAGTGAAGACATCACCGCGGAAACCTGTACAAACACAGGCGTAAAAAGAAGAGCCATGGTCCTTCGAGGCGAGGCTTTTCACAGCCTGGGAGGAGTGCCACGCGCCCACCAGGTCTCAACAGGTCCGCACCCAGTTGAAAGAGAGGTGTCTAGTCTCCCCCTACTCGAAAAAATAAAAAAAAAGGAAACAACATAACAC